AAACTACCCCTTTTCTTCCCCAACCAATCCTAAACCACAAGATTAATTGCAGTGGAAGAGAGTCTACATAATAAATATTTTATTAATCATGCAAGCCAAAGATGAAGCCATTTATTACATATTGGAACTGAGGCTAGAAAACTGCAGATGTCTAAACAACTGCTATGGGAAATTACCTATGTTAATTTTTTTTGAACTCTGATTAGAATGCTATATACACAGGGAGGGGGGGGGAAATATGACACTCACACATGGCGCAAAGATGACAAACAAATGGAGTGTGCTAATCTGAACAGAAAGGCCCTTCTTAGTGAATTTTGTTGATAGTGTCATTCAGGACATCACAGCCCAGCTGTGGAGTTTTGCTCTCATTCATGGGCACAACTAAATGGACTTTCACAAGACTTCCCTGCTTCTGTAGTTGCCATCCCAGCTAGGTATGACAAACACACAAAAGACTTCATATGATTACAATAATTTGGGACTACAGTCTATTCCAGTTTGTTGTATATATTACCTTGTTCTTAGTACATTGTTCTCTACTTTTTAAATTCCACTTTTTTTGGATTGTTTATGACATACCACGTCTGAGACTTTTCTTTTTGCACTGTCTCTAGTTTTTTGTAATCCTAGTCCTATTGTGTAGTTTGCTGGATGTCTCGCGCTACTTGATTGAATTGGTTTACCCTGTATAATCTGCCTCCAGTCTTGACAAGAAAGACAAGCTTCAAATAAAGTAAATAAAGTAAATAAATAAATGACTGCTGACTTGTTTAGTAATAAAGGCATCACAAGATTCAGTTCCTGCTTATGTCAAACTAGTGGCATGAAATGTAGGAGAGAACAAATCTTACTTATCATAGGCTCCAACAAATATACTGAAAGGTAACCATGCACAGTAACATACAGATGATGCTTTAGCAAGCACTTTTCACAGTGATAAGCCCACAATTATATTAGAATCATAATTTAGTTTCCTTTAATGGACATCAATGATAGCAAGATTAACTATCATGTGGATATGAAGTAATCACTGCTCAGTTTAGAAGAAACTAAAATGTATAAGCACTGAGAAGCAGAGACCATGGATCAGTAGAGGAGTATCTGCTTATGAATGACAAAGATTCTAGGTTCAATCTCTGGAATCTCCAGTTAAAAGGATAAGGTAGTACATGATGTGAAAAGACCTCTGCTTTAGACCTTGGAAGACAGCTACCAGTCAGAGTACACAAAGATGACCTAGAATGACAGTCTGACCCAGAATAAGGCTGCTTCATGAGTTAATTGACATTTTGGGATTGAAAAGATAAAGAATTTTATGCCTGCAAAATATACGCAACAGCTCAAAGAAATACTAATGATTGAAAAAGCATGGTTGTTAAAATTTTGCAGATGGAGAATGCTAAAAGCTGCCATTACAGTAAAATAAATAAGTACATAAAGGCCCCGGTCACACAGGCCGGATATCGCGGGGGGAGGTGTGGCTGTTTGCCCCGGAGCGAACTACTGTGCGGCCGCCAGATCAAACCTCCAGTCGATGTCCCGTGGTCCGGGGGGAGGTGCTGATCATATGTCAATCCTGCGGCGCGGCAAAGAAGCAGCGCGGCGGGGGTTGTGTGTTTTTTTTAACCGAAGTGTGCACATGCACTGTTGGGTGCTTGTGCGCATCCCGTGGAGACTTGGGGAAAAAAACCCTTTTCACGACGGGACATGGGCAGGCGCCAAATGCCACGAGCTACCACCAGAAACATGATCAGACGCCCACCCTTGCCCCGCGGTTTCCAGAAACTAGTACCTCGGAGGTACTAGTTTTTTACGGCGCATCTTCGGCGGGAAGCCTCGGGTTAGCCACGGGAGCTCTACGCTTTCCAGGTGTTGTGGTTTGATCGCGCCCGGAAAATCCGCCTATCTTCCCTCTCTGTAGCGTGGCTAATGCTCCGTGTGACCGCAGCCAAATAACATATTTCATTTGCGTAAGTATTCATAGGACTGATAATTCACACTGTCAGTTGAAAATCCCTGCAACCCTTAGTGAGCTCCTGGCATTTACAAGATACAGGCCAAATTGAAAATATTGTCATTAATAATATTAGCTCCCATAGGAGCCACCCCTCTGAGCACTTTCAGAAATTTTCTTTATCCCATGCATGGTTTTCTGAGGAACAAGCACTGAGAACCAGTGTGGTGTAGTGGCTAAGAGCATCAGACTAGTATCTGGCAGACCCAGGTTTGAATCTCCACTCGTGTCATTGAAGCTTGTTAGGTGACCTTGGGCCAGTCACTCTCTGTCTAACCTACCTCACAGGATAGTTGTAAGGATGAAATGGATAAACGGAGAATGCTGTAAGCTGCTTTGGGCCCCCCTTGGGGAGAATGGAGGGAAAAAATGAATTAAATAAATACATCCTTACTAAATCCTACCAAAATGTCTTCTGTAGGAGTGATTACTTTTTAATTCATACTAATATTTTGTTGGTATTGATGGCTGTTGTAAGTTTAGAATAGTGCCATTCTTAGCAATCTACAATTCAATTGTGGGAACGGTTGTCTTACTACTCATGATTGTCCTCACTGCAATCCAGAACTCCATTCTGGTTGTAATGTTCAAAGTGGGAGTAAAATGAAGTGCAGGATAACCCCCCCTCCTGGACCCGCTCTACTAATGGTCTATATTCTATACTCCAAAGAGCTAGTCTTGAGAATTTAATTACTCATCAGTGGCTTAGAGGGAGAGGGAGGCATTTAAAGTTCAGTGAAAGTGCAATATGCTTACAGATTGCTTGAACTACAATGTAACATTGGCCCCGTTCACATGGCGAATTTGCTGCGGGAGAGCCACAGGTGGTAGGTGGATTGTCTGTGGATGATCACACCCCAATATCTGGGAAGTGGAGCGCACCCGTGGCCAACCCGTGGCTTACCGCCAAAAACGTGCAATAAAAAAGTAGTACCTCCAAAATACTGGAAAACGGTTTGCCACGGGACGCCTGTGGTGTGATCGCGCTGGCGCGCGGCTTCCCCCTCCGGCCCCTCATTTAAATGCCGGCTCCGAGGGAAGGACCCGTGGAGTGCCGCCGGCACATCTTGCCAGGGCAATTTGCCACGCCTCCCCTCCACAATATTCGGCCCGTGTGACCGGGGCCATTATGCTGTTTTTAACAGACTTCACTGAAATTAGTTTTGATATATCTGTATTCCTATGACGACATGCATTCAGCTCTTCAACAATTTCACCAAGAATGTTTCACAAAATGAAATGATTCCATTCCCTTGTTTCCAGCTCTGCACAGCAGACCCACAAGTGACTCAGGATGCAAAATCGAAGAGCTTGTACTCACCACAGCAAGTCAAACCACTCGATATGTTATATTATCCAGTCTTATCTAGTGGCAATACTTTAAAATATATAATGTGTACGCATGGCAGCCACAGGCCTGAATTCAACAGAGCTCTTCCACAAAGAGAGGAGAGGAGATTTTCACCAATTCTCCTCTCCTGCAGACCAACTCCCTTCTTGTACTATTCCCGGGGGCTCTCTGTCCTCCAGGAATTTGGAGACTGGAGAGGGGAACAAGGAAGTTTTCATTAACAGAGATCCCTTCTGTCCATGGAAATCCTCCACTGGATCCAACCCTATGCCACAAAGAGATACGCTATTAATTAACTGCTGCTTTAGATACCATTACTTGGGCACTGGAGCTTTTATTCACCTGACATGAGGTATGGGCCATTTCTGTTATTGTTTATTGTGCCATCTGTTTTATTGGTTTTATGGCTTTTATTGCTGCCCTGAGCCCACTCATGGGAAAGGGTGGGATATAAATTAAATAAATAAATATAATAGCAGCAGCAGCAACATTTAACAACAACATTTAAGTATCTGCTACACAGCTGCAACATAATGTTTTCTAATGGGTCTGATTGGCACAAGAGATTTTAGAATTATATTGTAATGCTACAATGAAATGAAACTATCAGTTGTTCAGCAGACTTACTGTAATCCCCAATAAATCAGAAAGCTTTTTTTCATTAAGATGTCAGACCAAACTAAGACAACTTTCAACAAGACACACGAATGCATCTTCTTGAGGAGAAAATGAGAAGCACTAACACTTCCCATGCATTAGCATACAGACTCTGAAAGATGGCTAGGAAGTTCCAACTAAGGAATTTCAGAACCACCACCATGACAAGGGGGTGAGGGAGAAAAGCCCAGTTTTGCAAGCAACTACCACAAGTTGAGCATTCTGTTTCATTATCAAAGGGAAGCATACTGACATAGGTCCCGTAGAGATGCATTTGAGTCCAAGGTCAACAGAATTTACCCCACAGTTGAGCATGCAGCCCGAAACATGACATACAGTGGCAAGGCTGTCAGACCAGAAACTGTATGCATGCTTTGGTTTTAATTTTATTGTATTCTTCATTGTGTATGTTTAGATATATACATACACAAGGGGTGGACCCACGATACACGTGGGGTGAGGTTGGGGAGGGAGGCAGAGCTCCAAACGGAGCTCCAAAGTCAGAAGGCGGAGGAGGAAGACCTTGAGGCAAAAAAGTGAACGGGCGGCTCCTAAAAAGCTCCCCACTGAAGCGAGTCTCGACGAAGGCGCCTACTCTCCCCCGCTCCCCTGAGGCCACTACTTTCTCCTGCACCGGACTGGAACCGCACCTGATGGGGAAGATTCCACCTCCTTCACCCGCAACGCGCCACTCACCCGCACACTCCAGAGAGTCACTGTCGGAAGTGAACGCAAAAGAAACAACAGGAAGTGGCGACAACAGCCACGCATGCGTACATCACCAAGGGAGGCTTTCCCGCGCGCCTGAATTCCAATCTCTCACAGAGAGGGAGGGAAGAAGTCGACTCATCGCGCATCCAAGAAGCGCGCATGCGCATTTCATGCAATCCTCATTCATCCAGTCTGGGCTTGCGTTCTGATACCCTCTCCAATTCCTCAAGGGAGGGTCGCTTATACATCCGGGTTACTCGGCTATCGCCGCCCAGGCGTGGGAACGAGGTATTTCGAGGTTTTCGCGGGCTGCTTTCGCTGGCTTGAGTAAGTATAGTCCTCTTCGGCACCTGTCGTTGGCGTTGGCTCGCTTCTCTCAGAGTGGATGAGGCTCCAGCGGCTCCTGTTCCCCCTGAGTCACCGCGTCGGGCGTTAAAGCCTCCGCGCTCAGAGGATTCTTTCCGTACTGCCGAGTCTCTGGGAAGCGCGCTTGGGCAGGCCCTTTGAGGATTCCTAGACAGGAGAAGGCTCAACAGGTAGAGAGACTCGGTGTATGGAGCTGCCCGTGTCTGGATATCGGAGGGCCCCCCCCCCTTTTGCGCGTGCATACGGGGTGGTGGCGACGGGCTAAAGTCAGGCTCGCTTTAAGCACGGCGCTGTCGAGGAAAAGACCTCGGAGGTGCCTTGTGTTATGTCTCCTAAAAGGCCTGGCCTAAGTACCCGTTTGACAGAGATGTCGAATTTCCAATGGAGCCCATGCAAGTCAATTGGCATTTCCTGGCTCCCATGATTTCCAATGGGCCTTCCAGCGTCTCCCATTGTTTCCAATGGGCAATCCTGTCCTTCCTTTTAGTACATCCCATTAGTAGACTTGACTGTGCGACTGAACAACAACAACAACTTATTCAGGTTGCGTGTATATTTAAAAGGTTTCCTTGGCCCTGTGTTAAAGAAGGGAAAGTACCTTGCAAGTTAAAAACTAGAAACGAAACCAGCCTACTCGAGGTAAAGGTTTTAGTTCTGCCCGCTCCGTGGTTCTGCTTGTAGAGGCTTGTTTAGTGGAAGGGTGTGTTCAGGGAATGTGATTCCCTCGTATAGTGTGGTGTATGACATTGCACCGTCTCAGGGGTCTGCCACTCTATGCTGCCTTTTACAGACAGGGTTTAAGGGGGTCTGCTTCACATAACAGTTGAGTACTGGACTTAAACCAGGCACTGAGCATGTGCTGCATCACAAGGCTGTGGAGGTTTTTTTGCCCAGTGGTGACTCATTTATATCAGGTGTGAGTTTAGAAGATATGACTGAGGCCTTCTTCCGCTGACTCCCAGTCTACAATTTCCTGCCTCAAAAGGCTTGTCAGACTACTTGAAGCCTGATTTTCTGCAGATTTATTAAAATACATTACAGAAGGATTTTTAAAATGTTTTAATCTGTATTGCTGGTTTTATTTTTCTGCTTATTATTTATTTTGCTGCCTCTTTTTCTACTAGTTTTCATTTATTCTGGCTAGTTTAGTTGTATTTTGAGTTGCTGCTGGCTGCTCTGCTCACAGATTGCAGCCTTTTGTGCTTTTATCTCTTGTTTGTATTATATGCTAACTTGAAAATTTCTATAAAAAAAAAGGATGTCAAGTTACTCAGTAGGTGAAGTTAGATTCAGGTGGGCAGCTATGTTGGTCTGAAGCAGCAGAACAAAAGTTTGAGTCCAGTGGTACCTTCAAGGCCAACAAAGTTTTATTCAAGGTATAAACTTTTGTGTGCATGCACACTTCTTCAGATGCAATCGGTGAAATGTATCTTTGCAGCCTCACCACAGAAGAAAATATATTTAAATAATTCAATATAAACATATATACCACAGCCAAAGAGAAGGGCCAATAACAGGCACTGTGGATTTGCCTAACAAAACAAAGTCTTCACCTGTTGGCAGAAGATGATAGGGGAAGACAAAGTGATCTCCCTGGGGAGAGAGTTCCAAAGTTTTGCTGCCTTGACCAAGAAGGCCCTTTCTCAGGTTGCCACCCATCCAGCCTCAGATGATGGAGGCACCTGAAGCGGAACTTCTGAAGATGACCAGAGTGGATGGGAAGGTTCACGTGGCGAAGGCAGTCCTTAAAATATACTGGTCCGAAGCCATATATGGCTTTTAAAGGTCGATATCAGCATCGAATTGGGCCCAGAGGCAAATTTGTGGCCAGTGTTGATGGAATGAGATTGGAGTGATATGGTCCCTGCAACCTACCCCCGTTAGCATTCTGGCTGCAGCATTCTGTACCAGCTGTAGCTCCCAGATAGTCTTCAAGGGCAGCCTCACTCAGAGTGCATTGCAGTAATCTAATTCAGATATATCAGGGTATGCAGCACAGTGGGGAAATCTTTCCTGCCCGGGAAGGGCTAAAGCTGTTGGAAGGTACCCCTGGCTGCCACTTCCACCTGCTTATCCAACAGAAGGCCCAGGTTCGGGGGCATCCCTAAGCTCTAAACCTGCTTTCTTAGAGGGACTGCAACCTCTTTCAGAACAGGAGATATCCCATTTCCTGAGTCAAACCATCCCCTACCAGTAGCACCTCTATTTTGTTGGGATTAAGTTTCAGTTTGTTAGCCTTCATCCATTCCAAAACTGCCTCCAGGCAGCTTTTTATGATTTCCACAGCCTCCCTAGGGTCTTCTGGAAGTACAAGATAAGGCTGAGTGTCTTTCACTTATTGGTGGCAACTCAGTCCAGATCTCTAGATTACCTCTCCCAATGGCTTTACATGGAAACTGAAAAGCATGATGGACAAGATACTGATTCAGGTTGCGTGTATATTTTAAAGGTTTCCTTGGTCCTGTGTTAAAGAACCCATACCCAGAGGCCAAGGTGTAGAGCAGCAGTCTCCCAGCACCACACTCTGAAACCAGCCTTAGAGGTAGGACCAAAACCACCGCAGAATACTAATTCCCAGTCCCAACCCCAAAAGGTGGTCCAGAAGGATACCATGATTGATGATATTGAAAGCTGCAGAGAAATTCAAGAAAATTAACAGGACTATACTCGTCCTGTCCATCTCATGGCTCAGGTCATCTGCCAGGATGACCAAGGCCATTTCAGGCCCCTAATCAGGCCTGTAACCAGATTGCAGTGGATCTAAACAGTCTGCTTCATTCAAGAATTGCTGAAGTTGACTAGACACCACTTGCTCCATCACCTTGCTCAAGAATGCTATGTTTGAGACTGGATGGTAGTTATTCTGTTCTTCCAAGTCTAGAGGAGATTTCTGTCAGAATTGGGTGTTCAGAGAGTAACAGTTTACAACAACATAGAAGCTTTGCAAGGACAGTCCTGGGTTTGTTCATTCAAATAATGTATATGCCACCTTCCCAGAGACTGGGAAGGTAAATGGCTAAATTGCTGATTGCCAAAGCATTGGTGATCAGCTTAAACAAATACCAACAAGGGTCACTTACTTGTGAAAAATTGATCCTTTGAAATACTGACCCTTGAGCAGCTAGGGAAGAAATTTATTTTGAACTGACTTAAGGGGAGTGGCATTCATAAAAAGAGAGTGAAAAGATCTTCAAAAGCATGAAGCTGGCATGGGGGGAAATCTGACTAAGTTTCCCCACCTCTTGGCTTCAGCAGAACTGTTCTTGGTGGAAAGTAACGACGTAAACATAGCACATCGTAATGCAGTTTTATTACTGTTTGGTAAGGCTGTATAATGATGAGTAGTGGTCAGAAATCTGAATCCTCAAATATGACCAGATTGGCCCCAGAAGACTGTAAATTGCTGATTGGCAAAGCATTGGTGATCAGCTTAAACATGCCAACAAGTGTCACTTACTTGTGAAAATTTGATCCTTTGAAATACTGACCCTTCAGCAGCTAGGGAAGAAATTTATTTTGAACTGACTTAAGGGGAGTGGCATTCATAAAAAGAGAGTGAAAAGATCTTCAAAAGCATGAAGCTGGCATGGGGGGAAATCTGACTAAGTTTCCCCACCTCTTGGCTTCAGCAGAACTGTTCTTGGTGGAAAGTAACGACGTAAACATAGCACATCGTAATGCAGTTTTATTACTGTTTGGTAAGGCTGTATAATGATGAGTAGTGGTCAGAAATCTGAATCCTCAAATCTGACCAGATTGGCCCCAGAAGACTCAAAATAATTTTGAAAGAAACATGACTGTACTGCTTGGATTAAGTTCTGGTGTTAGTTAACTGAAAGATGAAGAAAGATATATTTGCTCCCTTAAGCACACTTGAGGGAATATATTCTCTGACAGCAAAAGAAGTTGAATACAGCAGGTGTAAGGATATAATTTGGCTTTATACCTGTTGCCTGTTCTAAAAAAGCGACTGAAGTGCTTTGCGGGGTTCCCATTATAGCCTACAAATTGGAACATACTTGTTAGGATTGTGAGAACTACTACATGCTAACAAATATATTGTGCTTTTGAATGCTCTTACCATATTCAGTAGTGTTTGAAAAGCTTCACTTACATTGACCCTGTAATCTTTACAACAGCCCTGTAAGGTAAGCCAGTGAGATAGGGGACTCGATGAGAGCCAAGCTTGTTACTCTGACTTTCAAGCCCCCTCCCAAAGTTGCGAAGAGTCGGACTCGACTGTGCGACTGAACAACAACAACCCAAACAGAAATGAGAGCAGATCTGAGCAGCTTGAGTCCCCCTTGGTTTCTCTGTTGTATATTTGGAAGTTCACACTACAGTTTGGATTCTGAACTATTGTTGGGGTATTGGCCAAATTGTGCCAAATCACAACCATGAAAGAAGGAATTATATGAATAAGGAATTGTATCTGAAGTAGTCTTTCAAGGAGAGAGAAGTTCCTTTTCTACAACCAACATTGCAAATATACCCAACACTAAAGCAAGAGATAGTTGCAGACTGCTGCACTATATGCTGTTACAGCACATTTCTGCTATCCCTAGTTCTTGTTATGTTATAAACAGATCCTCTGTAAACAGATCCTCTATATTTGCATTATGAGGTATGCTGTTATAGCACATTTCTGCTATCCCTAGTTCTTGAGTTATGTTATAAACAGATCCTCTATATTTGCATTATGAGAGGTAAGTTAAAGTAGCTTGGCTGTAAGTTTTGGCATTGTGAATTCAATATTTTCTGTAAAGACAGGCTGTTCTCTTGTACCTGCTTTCATCCATTTGCTTGATAGGTGAGCAAGCACAGGAAGCTGTTGTAGGTGCTGCTTCCTTTTGGGTTTTCCTCGTTGCCTGATTCAACACTTGGTGTGTACATCAAGCACATTGTGACACATCCATCCTTCAAGATGTGTCATAATGACATCCAACAAGCAAGCCAAGTAAGAAACCTACCGGATTAAATCATTTCAGAGCCAGCAAACATCAGCTGAGAGGAGCAGGGAGGGAGTTGCGTCCAAGTGAGCACTTTTCTAGCAGTTTTTCTACTTGCTCTTTTCCTTGTCAACTTGAGCCCTACAGACTCTTAAAATCTCTCCTTTCCTTTTTGGAGTACATTCAGCTTAGTAAAGTCAAACTATTTTTTACTCTTTGAAAGGTTTAATAGCTATTTTCAGTAGTAATTGTTGTGTATTTAGAACAGTAGAGGCATGCTTATAGTGGCTATAATTTGGGACAAAGCAGTTTTAGGTCACTGTGTTTATATTGTAGCTGTCTTCCTTGGCAATCTTATGCATATTTACTGTGAAGTAAGTCTGCCTGCATTCAGTGAGACCCTGGAACCATGAATGCTTTCTTGAGAATAAGGCCTATTGAATTTGGTATGGTTTACAGCAGAATGATCATGTTGCAAGTCTGGTCCTCTTAACATATCCTTCTTGGTATGGTAGTTTTCTGTGTAGAGGGATTAAGTTATTTATTTATTATATTTCTATGTAGAGGAGCATTCAGTCATGAGGGGGTCCCATACTCAGTCAGAAGTGGGAACAATACTGACAAGCTAGAGTGTACCAAGTAAACAGCCTTGTGATAGTTGGACTCCATACACTTCAACCTGAATAACATTGGGTGCATGTACTTAGAAGTAAATCATATTGAACTTAGTGAGACTTGATTCAGAGTAGACACACAGGATTGGATTGTTGGGGAAGCTGGAACCTCAAACCTTTAGAGCTTGGTAGAAGACACCTGAGATATCAAAATTGCATAAATGCCCCTCTGTACTGTTTATTTTACAGCTTAAATTTGGAGGTAAGGAAGTAGTGAAACCCTGTTACATGAGAGCAATAAACTTTCAGAGCCCCTTAAATTTCAGCAGATGATTGCTGAATGAAAAATGTTTCATGCTGCAGAATTCCTCTAGTGTCTCTTTCTGAATTGTTGATTGAAACTTAAAAATGAATTGGTTTTATTCTTTATTCCTGCTTTTCCACATACACATACACCATCATGGAAAACTGATAAAGATACTGGTTGTTATATATTATGGCTCAGGTGTGTGGAATTAACAGATTACACACAGACCTGCTTTTCCTGAATAAATTTAGTAATAACGAAGGAGTCTTTCAAGTACTAGTGTATGAAGTTTGTCCTAGATGTACCTTTCTTCCAGAAGCAGCAAAATATGTTTTTAACACCGTTAGCTGTTGCTTCTAGGCTTGTAATCCTTCATATAGCTTTCTTCTCTCCAAAAGAAGTGGAACTGCTTATTATTTTAATTGAAGGTTCCACACAATTGCTATTTACTCTTTTAACATTTGGTTAAGTGTCCAGATAATCTTTCAGTTTAGGTCACTTTCATTAGTGAATTATGGAATGGATTCATACCTAGTCAGTTGCCTCCATTTTATTCTCATGTGGTTATTTTCTCTCTTCAGCCTGCAGAGAAAAAGAGCAGTGGATTGCTCTCCAGCAATGTTGGAGATCGAGGAGAATCTGCAAGCAGCTTTCAAAAAGCTAAAAGTTGATGCAGAAGGGTAAGCAAGAACGCAATGAAATTTTAAAAATAGAACTCGTGTCCATTTTTTTTACTGCCCAGTATAGAACCAGGAACAGATCTGGCTTTGCATGTAATTCAGTTCATTTTTTAAATAAGTTTTTAGCTGTCTTGGCCAAGGGGAGAATATGTATGATGAATAATTGCTAAACATTTGGAAACTCCTTACTCCATTGACCTTGGATATGTAGCTTCCTTCTGTCATACTTTCTGCTATATGGCCCCTGCTTTTTAATTTGTAAAAAGCATTTATACAGCGCTTTTTGAGTGTTCAGTGTGGTTCATGTGCGCTGACTTGGCATTTTCTACCCTCTTGTAAAGTAGACCATATTACAGAGATAGAGATGATGTTGAAATAATAGTGGTGCAATTTGAACTGAGGATTTCCTGGATATCCTGGTATGTTCTTAGTTACTATGCTGCAGCAGCTTGTGAGGGACTCTTAACTTCTTTGCGAACAATATAAACATAGTACAAAATTCTTCTATGCATAGAATTTAGAAGGGGTGTTTGTGTTTTTTTTTTAATGCTTGAGATATCCAGCCAGCTGTGGTTTAAAACACCAAAGCTTAATTAAGCTATGATATCTGACTTGACAGATCACCGCTTGCAATTCATTGGCAAACCAGAATTGGAAATCCTGGTTTGTATTCACTTGGATTGGTGTAATTACAGCCTTCCCCAAGGAATTTTTGCATCCTGGAGGTGGGGATGAGCTTGTGAAGTATATTAACTTTATTAACATAAGTGTGGAAATGAAAGCAGGCAAACAGCTCTAAGCCATTTTGAGTGTAAAAATGATTAACTGTGGTTTGACATGATGGCTGAATTGAAGGCCAAGGAAATAACTGCAGATGTCTGAGTTCTTTCATCGAGAAATAAGTGCATGTCTGAAAGACTAAAGAAGTCCAAATTCTCAGCCATGGTATTTCGTGCACCTCTAAGATAATTGCTTTTATTCTTCATGTGGGAGTGAAGAGTATATTGGTCCCTGTCAGAAGCTGTTCTCTGGTGCTAAACCGCCAAGTGTGTGCCTGTTATGTGCCATCAAGTTGCTTCAGACTTACCAGAACCCTATAAATTAATGACCACCAAAATGTCTTATCATTAACAGCCTTGCTCAGGTCTTGCAAACTACTAAGCAGCATCCTTATTTCATCTTGTATAACTTAGTTCAGCTCATACTGTTTTTCCCTTAACCATAGCTGTCTCAGTTGTATTGGAATGGAGCGCTTCTGCCTTGTTGGTTCATGCCATCCTAGATTGGCCATGACTCATTATTGACAGAAGTCAGTTGGTTTGGTGTTGAGTCTGGTCCTGTTTCAAGGCAGCCACCTGATTGGATCAAGCCAGTGGTTTCTTTTGTATCCTGTCTATCAGTGATCAGTTCAGGTGCCCGAGAGCTTGCAGTAGCACATGACAGTGTTAGTGATAATTTTCAGCCACTTGGTGGAGATGCATTCATCCTTCTACTATGTATTGGGATGGTATTAATTTTAGCCATTCTTTAATCTGTAGACTATTTACTAACGGTACGCAGGTTGTAAGGGAGGTGGTGGGGGTGGGGCTAGGTTTGGCCAAGGCACTGGTAATTTCTAGTAAAACAGCTCACAGCAATGTGATATATGTCAACAAAACACATAAAAGTAGGAAGCATTATTGACTTGTTGAATAGTTTTTTCCCGTGCTGTCCTACAGTGATTTTCAAGGAAACCTTTCCAAATTAATGTCTGCCAGGAAACTACCGTTGCATATTCTAATAAGAGTGTGTTAGGCCACACACAATGCTAACCAGGCCTACTCAGCTTCACCAGTGCCCTCCATTAACTGAGAATGTATGCTAGAACAGACTCCACAGTTGCACTTACAGGGGGCCGGGAGAGAGGCTGGACAAGCTACACTGCAAAGAAGCATGTCTGCCACTTTCTCATCGAGGACCCCTCTGGTGTGCTTCCATCGGAGCCCCAAGGTTTCTGCGATCACACACTGTAAATGTCATGAACACACAGCAGCAACAAAAAAAAATTCCAGCTGCTTGACAAACGGCAACTGTAGGCTGCGTCAGAAATTCCTGGCGAGTCTCATTCTCGTGGTCACAATAATGACTCAGTCCTCCCACTCCATAATGCTGTGTCATGCTTCCTATGTAGTTTCTGTAGCTGTTACCTTTAATGTTTTATTTCTTACAGCCCTCTTGGTGCTATGAAAAAGGCAGTCATGCTAGGAAAAGTTGAAGGCAGTAGGAAAAGAGGAAGACCCAAAAAGAGATGGATTGACTCAATCAAAGAAGCCACGGCCCTCAGTTTGCAAGACCTGAGAATGGCTGTAAGTGACTTGGCATTTTGGAAGCTATTAATTCATAGGGTTGCCATAAGTCAGAAGTGACTTGGCAGCACATAACACACAGTGCTGTGAAGAAAACGGGAGAGAAAAAGGAATGATTTGTCACAAGTTCAGAAAACCAAGAAATCAAAAAGGATGAATGTAAAGCTGGGATAAGATACAATTCCCTGGCAGTTTTCTCTTTAAGAAAAGTGTAAGATTGCTGCTCTTGAGACACAAGCTTGGGAGCTCGTGAGGAATTGTGGGGAGGAGGGGAATAAGTGATTTTGTAGTTTCCTCACTGTACTGAAATCTCCCTTTCCAGGATTCCATAAGCTTGCGGAATTGAGCTCTTCTTCGTCTGTTTTTCTTCCTTTAAAATACTCAGCAGTTCCCAGTGTTCTATGCCTCCTGGAGCTTGCTAAGTCTTCGTTAGGACGTTTCTCTTTCCCCCCTTCTGTTTACAAAATTATATTTTTGTGTGTATTTGAGAAGCTCCCCAAAACGCAGAAACTTCTGCCTTGCCTGTAAGTGTCCAGGGTTTGCTGCTTTAGTAATAACAGAGGCCCGCTTCTTCATTAAATGTGATAATGATGGACTTTGTTCACACAACAGAAGTCCAGTAATCACAGGAAAGCTGCCTCCTCTCGCCTAACATCCTTTAATTATTGGTACGTTCTTAAGCCATTGTTGCTACCCTTAATTGATGGAAAAGAAGAATTAAGCTGAATTGTTGTGCTGAATGTTTCTGTGTATCTCTGGGTTAGTGTGTTTTTGAAAATGATACTAATTTGGGGGTTTAAGCTGCCATTACAGGTCTATATGGAGTTCTGGTCTGCTAAATTAGTGTGAAAAATCTATTTTTTCCTCATTTTAGATCCACTGCTACTCTGCCTGTGAATGAGTTGACACCTCTGAGATCGCTTGCAAGAACTACAGATGAAACAAAACCAAAGAACGTGGGTGCATCTAAAGAGAGCTGGCACTGGTAAGATGGGAGCTTGAGCTAGGCTAATGGAACTGCATCAAATGTGGCATGTTCTGCCAAAGGCCCTGGTCCTTTACAGCAGCTCAAGTAACGACTGGTACCAATGCAGCTGATGCTTGATCTTGTGCCTGAGACGCAGGACAAGGCAAATTGTCACTGTCTTGCATCCCAAGTGATCTGTAGCCATCCCCTTCTCTTAAAATAAAGAGCTGGCCCGCACACTTCTGTTGGCAAAAAGGTGGTGCTTGAGAGTGGAGGCAGATCTTGCCTGCACCATAGCATGGCACTGCTCCTTAGGCAACACCTTAGTGCTTCAGAATAGGTGGAGGTAATAGGCCTATGCTGTGTTGTGATGGAGTCCTACTACTGAAGGTGGTGGAGGATCAGCTGTAACTGTAACCCCACCCCCCTTTGGCACCTAACAATAAGTGTTCTGCATCAGCA